ACCAGCAAGACTGAGGTCACCAAGGAACAGAAACAGAAGACCAGCAAGACTGAGGTCACCAAGGAACAGAAACAGAGCACCAGCAAGACTGAGGTCACCGAGGAACAGAAACAGACCAGCAAGACTGAGGCCACCAAGGGACAGAGGCAGAGCATCAGCAAGACCGAGTCCACCCAGGAACAGAGGCAGAGCATCTGCAAGACTGAGGCCACCAACAGCCCCAGGCAGAGACTCAGGAAGATCAGGGTCACCCAAGCTGCAAGACAGAGGCTTAGAAAGACTGCAGCTGCCCGTGGCTGGAGCTGGAAGTCCGGCAAAACTGATATCACCCAGGGCAGGGGACTGATGCGAAGTTGCAGCAGGATCAGGGCTTCCTTTGACCTAGGTTCAAACCCCAGTGAAACTGAGGCCACCCAGAGCCAAAGCCAGAGGCTGGACAAGGCTGAGGCTGCCTGGAGAAGGCATTAGCAAAAGTTCCAGTAATGCTGAGTGCACCTATGGACCAAGCCCAGCTCTCAGCAAAACCAAAACCACTGAGAGCCTTAGCCAGAGCTCCAGCAAAACAGGCTGGTCAGGACATTCTCTGAGGGGCAACTGAGCCCCCTCGCTTCTCACGGAGGGGCGATTCTATCCCCCCTACACACTGACACAAGCTGCCTCCTTCCAGAACAATTAGAAACCACAACCAACAGTGCTCTAGTTCCAGGCTAAGTTTATTATATTTTTTCTCCTCTTTTACAAAATTAAAAACTTCTAAAACCAGGCCCAGGTGGCAGCTTGAGTCCTTCCAGTCACAGAAATTGCGAAGTCCCAGCACTTGCCTTGATGAAGCTGGACACAGCATGTGGCGTAGAGGGGAGGGACATGGTGCCTGAGTAAGGGGCCAGGATAACAGAAGGAAGGGAGGAGGGAGGTAGCTGCCATGAGCTGCAGTCCCTGAGGTACAAGTCACAGTAAGGAGGCTCAGGCTTTGCAGGGGAATCAAGTCTGAGTGAGGTTCTGGGGTGACCAGGGGTTTCCCTGGGGAGAGCAGCGAAGGCCAAGATCCCCTCAAGAAGTTAAGAGGCAGGGCCTTTCCTGGCCCTCTGTCCCCTGGCCTAGGCCAT